TAAATGACAGAAAATTTTGATGAAAACAAACAGTTTAGGTATGTATATCAGCATGCACACTAAAAGGTAGTTTTAGATTGTTTTTAAAACAAGATCAAGTTAATGATGCATGATAGCATACTGGTACCGGCAGCAATAAGCAGCGAAAGGCTTTCACGAATCGTACTTTCTGTTAAGCCTGAATACTTCAGAAACATATGAGCAACATGGCTGGAGTTTGAGTAAGGTTAATTGTTATGCTGTTCAAAATGTTTGATTTACTTGTGTCATCAATAATATCAATAAGAAAAAATGTATTTAATTGTGGCTAATTCGCATGGCAAGGAGGGAAAGCAGACCACAGTTTTTATTTTATTTTATTTTATTTTTGAAAAACATAGTCAGTCAGTGTTAGTACAATCAGGCCTTAACTGCAGTTTAAATTGCCAGTGTGAATGGGGTAATTGTGAATTGATTATTGAACACCAACATAATGTAACCATGCAAAAAAAGGTACAGTTTTAAGGGATTCCCAGAAGTCCAACATCTATTTGAAATGGATTACAAATTATTGTTATTATCAATTATCAGCCATAAAACAATTACCCATGGGCCTTGTGTATCACAGTATATGGCTAAGATAACTCAATACAGTAATTAATTCAATAATCGGTGGTGATAGTATTACCTGGTTCTGTCATGCTGTGCCCATTAAAAAATACAGTCTGTGTCACAGAGTGCCCCGTGGTATCAGCATAGAATTTTGTAATCTATGCTGAAATGCTAGTATAATCCATCATTCTGTCATTGTGAATTCACTTGCCATCAGATATATCTAATTTTAAAACCATCACCATTAAGTCAAATCATATAACTTTTAATGAATGGGCAAATCTGGGTATCGAAATGTATTGTTGTCTCTTTACATGGGAGATCTCCTCCACTTCATACTACAGGGGGGCAGGGCAGAGGAAGAGAGGGGAAAGAAAGATACTTGGACCCTTAACACTGGCTACTGAACTGCTGTAAAATGTTACACTGAGATCCAATAGTTTTCGATTCTTTAATATGCCCCTCTTTACCTAGGTGCCAATAAATCTCATCCACAATTTTATTTCATATAAAAAGAAATCACCCACTTAACAGCCTTCTTAAATCTCTTGAGTGGTGGCAGTCTGGCCTATTTAGCTCTCTAATGATCCCCTGGGCCCCAAGATATTGCTTCTAAGATATGACAAACCTTTGTCCATCCCCTCAAACACATCATTCTATCTAACAGTATTGATTTGGGTTTCTTCTCCATGCTACCTACTGTTAAAAACACAATACATGTGAATTCAACGAAGAAAATGGTAGGTCTGTTATATGGAGAAAAAAGCAAAGAAATAGCCAATAATAATAAAAACACCATCAGCCTAAAAACGAAAATGGTAGGTCTGTTATATGGCGAAAAAAGCAAAGAAATAGCCAATAATAATAAAAACACCATCAGCCTAAAAACTAATTTTTGTATGTGTGCCCTTGTTTAAAAAAGAATCAGGAATAATTTTCCTTTTCTTTGAGAAAAAGTTTTATAAAAGAGCAAGTATCCAACACAGTTCATTTATATCAAAATAAAAAATTTCCTCATAAATCTCAAGTACCATAATATGAAAAACTTCAAGACTTTTCTACCAAGATCATTGTAATAAATCCTTACATGGAGTATAAATTTCCCCCAGCTTTCAGATTAGGCATCAAAAGAACTAAAACATTAACATTACTGTCCTAATGACCCTAACAATTGAAAATGACTAATGTTTTTCCTACTGTTAGTCACATTGAGACCTTGGTTTGCATGTGGTGCAACTATTAGTTGGAAACTACTCGGGAGTCTGGCTATAGATGGTGACAACATCTATACATCTAACGAGTAACTATACACTGCTTACTGATGAGAAGAGCTATAAGCTAAAACAGTGATTGCTAAATAAGAAGCTTGATGGAGCGCACTTATACATTTGAAAACACCATGCAGACCCTTGGACAATCATGTAGTTAAAAACCATCATACAAAATTTAAATATATTTGAAATGATAAAGGACCTGCATTTGTGCAAGAGTTTACTGCCATCAAAATAAATAAGATAACAGCAATTCACCAGCATGTCAAATAAAGATAAGACATCATGATGAATCTTATATAGTTTCATAATAACTGTCCAAAATGAGGAATCATGCAATGATCATGCAAGCTGTACTTGTGACACTAAATCCAAGTTCTTCCCTGTGGGAGTGATTTGAGTTGCAACTTGCTAGTGCATTTTTTTTACATCATGGACTCTGTAACACACTGTATCTTCAAGATCATTAGACCATGAAATCAATCTCAAATCTGATAGGATGTAGTATTGATGATTTATTTCCCCCAAGGGAAGTATTTTAAAAACTTTAAAATTTTTGGTGTGAGTATGTATAATTCTTTATACTAAATGGCTTTCTTTTTTTTTCTTTTTAATAAGAGAGCGAACATCATTTCAATATAACAAGATAACAGACAGGCTGTTTTCACCAGAGTTTTGTTAAAGCCTTTTGTATCAAGGTAAGCATTCTCTTTCAAAAAGAAGCAAAAAAGAATAATAAACATACCGTAGCAGACTTAATTCAATCTTCATATACCACTCAATGAGTGATTCAAATGTCTATTTGCAATGAAAATGCACAAAAAAATAAATCAGGCCTACCCAACTACCAGACCCGGCACTGAATGATCCTGAATTCGCCGGTAGATTGGACCACACTACACGTTTTCAAGGTGTATGTCAGTACACGCTTCGAAGTATCAGACGCAACACCGCTCTTGCCTAGTACGAGATGTGACAGTGATGATTCTCAGCGGGGTTGGAAAGTAGTGGATCTCATCTCAAATTTTGTTCTGGGGTATGATGCTGTGAAATGTGTACTGACGCACTCCTTGAAAATGGGTAGTGTGGTCCGATCTACCAGTAAATTCGGGATCATTGGTGCCGAGTCTGGTAGTTGGGTAGGCCTGTAAATGCAGACTGATTCTAAAAAAGGTCAATTAATGAAGGCAGGATTGCAATTTGACAAGTGGGAATAGTGGAGGGAGAGAGAAATTTATACCCAAAAAACTAATACCCAAGAAAAAAGTAGAGAAGTTAGAGAGGGACAGAGAGAATTAAACAAACATGAGAGAGAGAGAGAGAGAGAGTGAGCAATGGAAATACCAGAAATATTTTTTAAAGTGCACAATCAACGTGTGTAGTCTACCTTATGATGGAAGAGCTGAGCTTGCATCAAGATAATCTACATCATAGCTGTGGACCCCTGGGGCAATCAATTCTTACAATTTTATTATTTTTGATAGCAATGGATGTTTGGTAAAACTGTCACACCATTTATCTAATTTTGGATGAAATTGTATTGTGCAATTCATCATAAATATATAATAGTCATCTACACAACAAAAATACATCGATATTCTTTAAGATTATTTATTAATAAGTCAACTAAAAACATCTATTAAAGGAGGACTTCCACAAATAAAGTATACATGTACAAAGACCTAGAATAATAGAGCATGTTCTGAGGGTAACTTTTTTAGTTGTTTAAAATACAATCAGAATATTGGACAAATAAAATCTACAAGTTTCTGGTGAAAAAAATTGTAATTCAATGAACAACTGCTATTCAGGAGCTTAGAGTAAAGCCCATGGAAATGCTTGTCTGCAATTATCTGATCAAGTTGTCTTGCTCCAAATAAAAAATAGCTAGTCATGTCATCCTGACAGCTAAACAAGATGTAAAAACAACATAATGCAGAGGTACATGATCAGCATACAGGACTCTCAAGGGGCTTTTGTTTTACCAAGGATCTTAGACACTGGATATATTTCAGTAACTTATGGGGTTCAATAACATCTTAAATTGATTTTCTTCAGCAATATCTTTTTATCATATTCCAACTTTCAAGTCCTGAAAAAGATAGATGTAAAGAAAGGCACCAAGCCTAAATTTGTTCATACAAAGTACCTAAAAAAATACAATCCTTAAGAGAGAGAGAGAGAGAGAGAGAGAGAGAGAGGGGGAGAGAGACTGTATCTATCCTTTTCATATACACCAACAGAATACGCAGACACACCCAAGTACATACAGTACCTCATCTTTTATGAATACATATATGTCATACTAATTCATTTATACATCTGTATTGAACAAACCTGTCACAGGTATATACATGGATTAAAAAATGCAATATATGCCATTACATTATACCAGCATTGTCATTTGTTGCTAACTGTCAAGGTTACAGAACTCAAAATTAACATTACAGAGCATTTTCCATTTATGGGTGTCTTTTGTCTTCATCACAGCCAATGTAGTGTATTATCTATGATTTCTTGTAAAAATAACAGAGCAAAATTAAAATAAAAATTTTAGACAATGCAATATGGTTCAGGGCACTGCTCACTTTGGTCATACCTACACCATACCTACACCATATTCAAGCAAAAACCAAGTTATTGCAATTCCAAAAACATCACCATGCTCATGCTATTTATTTCAATGTATAATATTTGACAAAAGACCTGCCTTATCTGATCTTAAGTCATGCACGGTCATAATATACATAGCTTTTTAAGTAAGATTTGATAAAAATATATTGTTTGCATGAATATTTTCATTTCTATCTAAGGTCAACAAGTTGTTAGTTTAGGTTCCATTTCTTGACCACAAGGTCAGTCTATATCGGTTCACCATAACAGCCTGTACATTTTTTTTTTCAAATTGTCCATTTCAATTCAGATTGCCAAACTGATAAAAGGCAGTATTTCATAAAGTGTATTGATGAATAAAACTAACATATAACTAAAGACTCCTTTAGAAATATTCTTGGTTGAATAGAAACATTATGTGTTTTTAGAACAGAGATAAAATCTTACCTCTATATTGAAATAATTTTTCCACCATATATTTTAATTGGATAAAAATTGTTTTGTAACAACTATTGTATCAGAATTTCTTATCACACAAGTGTTCCTAACAAAAACCTGGTCATATCCATTTATAAAGTGCTCTCTGCAGGCAACATACAAGTTTTCCCTTTCATATGTCTTTACACTTTTTCTAATTTCCTTCCAAGTAAAACACACTTTAAGCACTTCTGCTCTTCACATTTTGCCAGAGAAGATCTATAAATTATTTCCTTGGGGAGACAAAACTAGGAAAGTTTGTAATCCCCAATAAAGCCGACAACTTGTGTTTCATCAAGCAGAACAGCCTGTGCTTATTCCACTCTATATCTTCCCAGCCGAGTTGTCCTTTATTACAAGATGCATAAAAATGGTGACAAGGCCACGGGGTAAACATATCACTGTCTCACTACAGCTGTATGGAGACCAAAGGGACAAAGGATGAATGGCAATCATCCAGTCTATACGAAGTTACCCACAAATTAAAAAGGAAGATTAAAGAAGATACAGTAGTTATATCTTGCAGTGCATTCTTTATTTATTGATACTGGCAGTTTACTTGAAAAGCATCATATTGATTTTACCATTTCATTGCAGGTTATATCATTTTCACACTGAGGGTGGTGTAGAAGGAGGATTTTTAACCAAGTCCAATAAGACTTTATTGCCACATATAGTTAACCAACTGCAAAGAGCAGCAGGTAGTAGTAGGCTTTACTACAATAATATTTGCTAACGCACTGCATTGACAGGCAGCCTTCACAGCTTGGCTGCAATTGGCTAGACTCAAACTGAATGCAAATAGCATCCCAGCCAGAAGTTCAGTGGGCAGTTAGCACTAAGCAGCAGGAGTACCTTAAGCCACCAGCACAGACGACTCACTCAATGGATTAATAGTGGTTGAATAATCAACAGTGCCTTAAAGCAGAAGAAAGGGGCTCAATTCAGTCAATCTATTAAAAGCGGTGGTCAGGTAATAGACCTGTCATTTGTTTAGACACCTCCGCAGGGATAACACCACACCTGTATGGGGGCCAGATGACATTACCTGACTGGCTGGACACTCACCTGTCTGGACACTGTGTGGACTAATGGACACAAAAATTAACAGATTAAAATGTGGGAAGAAAAAGTGCCGATCACTCATCATGTCCAAGGATTATTATACTGAGGCTGATGATCTTTCATAAGCACTTTCTTTGACAGCCAAGTTCAAGCAGGGAGCCAGGAGGGTACAGTAGTAGCTGTTTAAAAAAATGTGGTTGACAGTGAACAGGGACAGAGACATGGACGTCAGTAGTATTGGACTGACAGCAGCCAGGTTATGCTGCTATTTCACTTTGATGACACTAGTAACAGGACAGCCATGGGCAGGTAAGCAACTTAACTTTTATCGGTAGTAATCAGGTTGGTAAGATGTGAGCATTAGCCTTCTGCGTCAACTCCACAGTTTGGCTAATAAGTTTTATGGTTTGGCCATATTAAATTTACAACTTGACTAGTATACTTATGCAGTAAATGGTGACATTTATAGATTGACGATCAGACTGCGCTACCTGTCTTTAAAAGCATATTAATTTTATCAGTTGCTACATCAAGAATTACACATTTAGAGACCCCATAATTATTTCATACCTGACAATACAAGACATGATCTTAAGAACTGACACATCTCTCTTATATCACTCGAATCTCTTCAAAGAAATTTCCTCTGATCTTTGATACACGTCTTATATTGCTACCATTTTTCACACTTGAGAAAATACAATTTTACAGTGGGTTGGGATACATAATTGAAGAAAAGAAAGCATCTCAACTTAATCAATCCAATTTCTTTAGCCTAACATGTGAACCATTATACTTATCTCCATACAGGGTAAACTGAGAGCAAACATACACTTTCCACAAAGCTAAAATAGCTGACCAGATACACTTGAGAGAACTGTTTGCAATACACTGTCCATTAGTTTTGAATGCTGTCCTAAGAGATCTACCCCAGATAGCCATCTAAACAGGTGACCATTTAGAAACTTATCAGTTTCAATTTGCTCTGCTATTCAGTGCACCAGGCCTGAATTTCTGTATTGAACATTTAAAAGACAGGGCCATGAAGTGCCAGTTCATGTAATTCTACAGTATGTGCAACAGTTAGGTAGTAGTTGTACATTTATATATAGATTGGTATGGATATGCATCGATTTGAATTCACAGCTAAGTTATTTTAGCCTTACTATATCGTACCACACTTGTATGGAAAGGAAAATACTTTTCAATAATACCATCGATCAAAAATGAATTCTATAAATGCTTATTTGAATATTGCTTATTTGCTCACAACTACAAACCACAGTATAATAGGTCTAATGATAACACTACCCCACCAGGTTCCCATACACACATTTGTATGGGACTTAGCAAATTAACTGGGCCCATGTGCATGTTACAGAATTCTCCATTACATACTGAAGGAAGTAATACTTATAAAAGTTTTGAAGTGAATTACGTTTTGAGAGGAAATATGTTCTCATTATTAAAATCGAAAATCAAAAAAAAAATCTTTAAGAAAGCTATTCTCACTGAGATTTCAAAACATGATGAAAGGCACTGTCAGGAGCCTGTGGCAGCTGTGAAGAAATGAATATGTTTGAACTATCAATTAGAGCAAGTTGGTACTTTAGTGCTAGATTGGTTGGCTGTCAATGGAAAAAAATTAAGAAAAAAAATTTTAGAACTCAGAATAGGAAAAGTGCTACATATTGATTTTCAAGCATTTAACTGCGGGGTGTTTCCTTGTATGCTGTGGCACAAGTTCTTGAATCAATTAGACTCACGTCCAATTATTACTAATTAGTCTAACCTGTCATTAGGTCTAATAGGATAAATTGACACTGGTTTCAATACTTTAGTTCCAGTGTTTTTGTCCCAAATGTAGTACAACTTGGGTCCCTTGTGGGATTTTTTTTTTTTTTTGTTATGTGCCTTACGGTAATAATGTATATAGTGACAAATGTGTGCCTGTGGCTGCAAGGGTATCATCTACATCATAACGCTGTCTATTCCTGGTAACATTGGATCAAAAAATAAAACAGGCATATTTTATTGTTTTTCATGAAATATGATCACATGCTACTTTCCCATTGAGTAGATGATCATCAAGCATGACTTCCAACCTGTTAGCCTCGTAAGTAACTATGGAAACAAAGATGCATGAAAGAAGTGTTTTTCACGCAAAACTAATAAAATCAATCTCTGAGGAACAAGGACAAAATAAAGGAAATAGATAAGAATTAGGGAAAATGGTGACATCCACAGCACCATGTCATTTCTAATATGAATTTATTAAAAAAACAAACTTTTTAAAACTGATTTTCTTGAAAAATAAACTTCTGATGTGCTTTCAATAAAACGACTGTATTAAACTGGTCTTTCCTCACAAGCACTTATATCATATCAGCCCTTTTCCCTCCCACCATTAGCACTTGTTAAAGAGAGCAGTATCAAGCTACTTCCATCTGCTTGTGAGCTCCTTACGCCACCACCCACCACAATACATCAAACAGCCACAACTCTATTCAAGACAGGTAAACTGAAAGCCCTAATACCGCATTATGTAACGATATAGGGTATTACATCTCTATTACTAGCTCCTCCATTGCCCTTCCATAATAAGCTCTCCGATCCTACAAATCAGTCCCTTGCTCCTGGTATTTGTAATTGAACTTGAGCCACTGAAAGTATTTGAACAATGACAACTTTGCAAGATTTACAATTTCTTCTCATTTTGATGAAATCTCTGCCAGTCTTTAAACCCTTATAACAATAAAAATATGTGTTCTTGAAAACAAACTGAGATTTTATCTCTTGTGGATAAATCTATGAAGCATGAAACTAAAAGGGTAAATTTTATATGACCTTTTTAGACTAGTGAAGTAACTTAAATTAATAAAGCTTGTTATTCTATTGGCAAATACTTTGCACTTTATATTAATGAAGTAAATTGCCTTGAATCAAATCAATCAAGCCCAAACACTATACATCTGATCCACAAGACCCAGTGCAATCTAATTTTACCAACTTCTTTTCTGTCATATCCAGGGATTTTCAAGATTTTCACTTTATTTCAAAGAACAAATAGTATAACCTTAACATTTGTCTCCTAATCAATACTTTAGTTTCTTAGATAACTACCTGAACCATAACCTCACATTTTCTGTGGAAATGAGTTCAAAATTTTTGTCTAAACAACTGACTAAATTTGCCAAATCCCAACCATCCCTTAACAATGAGTGATTCAGCTGTAACCTACTGCCCACTGCTCTCTTCGGAAATAAAATGCAAAACCTTGACCTCTGAACAATTATACCAACCAAGTACATGTTTATTCCTTAAAAAGAATTCTTTCAAGTATCTTTTGCCAAATGCTCATTTAAACTTTTATACATACATTGTTTTTTCTTGCTTATCACATTTTTACATCCTACATACATTAAATACTCCCTATATCACACATTCCAACGTTATCATCGGATCAAATTGACAGTTTTAACACTAAAACCGGAAAAATGAGAGAAAAACACATTTAAATTCCACATCTCTATCATTATTAAGGTGTTGATGCCACCCATACAATATTCCTACACATCCTTTATTAAATATAGATACTGAGGTGGTTATGTGGTGTGTGGGTGTGTATGTAATAACAGACCTTGTGGGATGTGCGTAGTCGTCACTTATCATTTCAAAAACCTTTATTAACTAAACATTACCCCAACTTAAATCATTAAAAGAGGAATTATGGTAAAACTAAAGCTTTTTTGATAAAAATTACAAGTGTATGAAGATAAATGATGTGATCTCCACAAGTGACCACAGCCAAATATCATGCATAAAATACCTGGCATACATTACACAATATATTTAGCTCATACAGGTGATGAATGAAATGACCACTTTCTAGTGAGTAAGGAAGCAAAAAGAGTAACAGCATGTAGCATATTCCTTAGGTCATACCAAAACCAATCAATCATCAAACAAAGGTAGATAAATTCAGGAGAATTAGTCTGTCTCTTGGGTTGAGTCATTGCTTGGCAACATCTTCAATGAGACAATTAGAATTGCTGACAGTATTATATAATATATGCTCCTGGTATAGTTAGAAGAAACCCAAGCGGTCTGGCAACCACCAGTGATAAATATTGCATTACCTGGACAGATGGATATTTGCTATTGATTACCGTGATGACAAAGTCAAGTTGATTAGAGCGACTTAGTCACCTGTGTGATGTCTCATCCTTTTCTTGTTGGAATAATAAGAGACTGAAACAAATATTGAGAGAGTTTTAACTTAAAAATTGATGGAGCAAAAAGTTGTCTTAAAAATATACATCTACTTTGCATCTACTTTGCCTTTGGAACTCATCAGAGTAATTGGTCAATGTGTTATAAAACATTGCAAATAATGTCAGACAAGTTGACATTTTCATAGCTCTCCCAAATTCTCATGGACTGTCTTTAAAATGCTTGGAAATTTTCTTTTTTTTAATGAGTAGGGTAGTAAAGGCACTAAAATGTATTAATTTTTAAAATCCACGTTATCTTTGTTGAGTACTGAACATCTAAACAGAAATCTCAAGTCAGCTTGTTATTTGAGTTTTGTCACTTTTGTTAAGCTTCATCATTTCCAGCATTATTTAATTAGTGAACTGACAAATGCAATGTTCAAGTCATATGTACATTAGTTGAGCTTTTCCAAATGTCAGTTTAGTCAGTAAGCCAGTAAACACATCATCCACCACAGCACTGAACCATCAGTTCCTCCACAGTGCTCGGAGGTAAATGGTACTGGAGACAACAGGGGTGGGGCAGTCACTTGGAACCGTAGGCGAGGAAAGCATAATATGGAAGATTTCACAAGTAGTTAAACTGAAACTTTATACTTTTCTCCAGCAGCTGTGTTAGGTATATTTAGGAGGTTTTCTTGAAAATTTTCACCACATTTCTTACTAGTAATTATATCCCCCTCTCTTCCTGCAATCAAACAATTTGGATTATTTTTCGGACATCAACTTCACTTGTCATTATAATATAATAGTGATAAGGCTGAGGAAACCAAACTCTTCCACAGCCCACAAAACTAGAAGAGCAAAGGTGGACAAAGGTACTCATAAATCACCCCTCATGGTTGAATGCCTTTAAAAAACGTGCAGCTGATGGAGTAAACCACAACCACAAAAAAAGTGCAAAATTTCTTGTCATTTACAAAACTGGGAACATGATATATTGGAAAGAACATCTTGTGCATAGTCTAGGCCTTGGCTTGCCACTTCTGTCCATTCATGATGTTTTTTAGATTTTATGCCTCTGGTAGGACCCAG